CTCTCTCTCTCTCTCTCTCTCTCTCTCTCTCTCTCTCTCTCTCTCTCTCTCTCTCTCTCACACACACACACACACACACACACACACACACACACACACAGAGCAATAAACCATGTTTTTTTTCAAACCAATGCCAATAAGAGCCTGCTGATACTAACAGAACAAATTATTTCACCATTAAGAATAACAGAATAACATTTACACTCCCATGGGGTGCTCTCCATATTTTTTCAACTTTTATTTCCAGCCATGAAAATAAAGCACATCTGTTTTATGTAGACTGGTTGAATTTGCATGGGTCGGCATGCAGTAAGATATTCTTCCCCAAGGATTTTGCCACTAGGCAGCATCAAACATAATGGACTAGTTTCCTTTGTTTACCTACCCTGGAAGCACTATGGAAAGTACTATTGGTAGGAAAGTACTACTGGTAGGCACTCTTCCTACAGTAATGGCAGTCCACTATACTAACTAGGAGCTCAAGATAACATAGCTATAGACAATTTGAAATAAGATTTTGCAATTAATTATAAAGAATCCTTCCCATAGGAAAATGCTTTTATCTTGAATTCTTAAAAAAATATAATACTTGACTTTAAAAACTGGACACTATAGGGAATTAGAAGGAACTAAAGATTACAATGAAAGGAGACGAACACTTGACTTTCTAATACAGGAAGAAGCAAAATATTTTAACACTGGACATACTAAAGGATATTTTTGAACAATGGACCTAAAGGTTAATTTTAAGTGTCTGCCTCTATAAATAGACTGTGTTTAAAATTAAACTAAAATTAAAAAATAATATTATGGCAGAGTATTACTTGACATGATCAACACCAATTTGAAAGTGGATTTTAAAATGACAGGCTACAAGAATTACGTTGGAAATCAGTTGATGTCTTAATAATTAAAAGGGATATATAAATAAACCAACAGAGTGACCTGGATATTTTTGAATATTGGACTTACAAAAGAGGCCCATTAAAGCTTTGAAGAATTTTGTGAGAAGGGACAAAGAAAAAAATCAAAACAAATCAAGCTCTAGGTCTAGGATATTATTTGAAGGGACTAAAGATCAATATTGTTAGCAGTAAAAGGAAGGAACACAGAGCTGGTTTATTTGATCAAGGTTAAAATAGATATCTTGTTATCTCTTATTTAACTGACTTTTGCTGACATTAGAACTGAATCAAGGAGGCTTTACGGATTGGTTTGGATTTGCATGGGATATGGGAAGAGAGAGACCATTTGTTGCATTTCAATAGAAGGTGATAATTTACTAAAATTGTTTATACTTGTGATGAAGAGAAAAGTCACTTCTTTATATATTTCTTTTCTTTTTCTTTACTATACTCTTATTTTTTTCTTTTCTGCACCTTCTATTTTTCTTTTTATTCTTCTTTTTAGTTTGTATTAATTTACATTGTTGTAAACTGTAATTGTAATCTTTAATAAAATTACTATTTTTTAAAAAAAGAAAAATTATATCCCTGGAGTGGTTTAGTTCAGTTACTAAGTGTTCCTGCTTACCTTGGAGTGGTATGTAAGAGCATTTTTGGCCACAGCACACTGCTTCTCTACCAGGAAACAAAATCGCCGCCTCTCTTCTGTGAGTGCTGTCTTGTAACCATCAGATACATAGTTCTCCAGCTCACCTTGTTTATTGGTCATTGCTTCAATAAACTGGAAGAAAAGAGAGAACATAAAATATTACAGGTGAGTAAAAACTAGCATATTAATCACAATACGAGCCCATATTTCTGCAGGTATTCTGAATGCAGCAGATTCCTTTGCAAAGCTAACATCTACTCCAGTTGCTTCAGAGAAAGGAAGCAGAGAGAAAGAAGTAGGCAGTCGCCTCTTCATCATTACTGTACAGAATTGCCTGAGATTCCTTATCTGGTGTTCAGCTGTAGCCTGGACAGCAGGGGGCACCTGGCCACAGAGCATAAGCCTGCTGAGAGAATATCTCTCCTTCCCCCTCAGTAACATCCATCCTTAGTCATCTGACTTCCCTCACACAAAAGCTCCTGACTCAGTACGTGGGCTTCAGATGTTGTGTGGGTGGCAGAAGAGCAGAGAGATTCTTAGTCTCCCTCCTACTCCCTCTGCACCTGGATACTGCTAATTCTCTACTGCCTATTGCTACGAATTGACTTCCGGGGGCTCACATAAGTTTAAAGGGGCTTCAGAAGGGTTTTTACACTTTGTCCGTTGAGCTCTCCTTTCTAGGCTGCTGAGGGTCAGCTTCCTAGCTCCTCTTTCTGAAAACCATAGAGGACAGAGGTCCTCCTCAAAGGCCTCCAGGGGATGCAGAGAGGCTTCAAGCTCTCTCTTTGAACCCACACCTCCTCTCCTGTGAGAAGATGCAACAAAGCAAAAGAAGACGCCCTCTCCAAGAGCCCCACGTGCCCCTTTAACCAAACAGCGTCTCCTCGTGTGAAGTCTTCAAACTTTGACATAAAGTCATCCACTTAATTCTGCAACCAATGGCCCGAGAAATCCACAATGCAATAAATTTCTTTTCTCACATTCAGAGGTTTCTCTGCACTCAGCACTTCCATCTGATACTCAGTTTCAACAGCCTAAAAGTCTGGTATACCCTAAAGCATTTTTTATTCAAACCTCCATGGCTTTAAAGGTCATTAACTACAAAAGAGTTAATAGAGCCCCTTCTTTATTGTATATACCAGCCCTTGAGCAAGCACTTCTGCCTGCTTTCTGGATACCCTCCCTCCCTCCCTCTCTCTTCACCCCAAAAGACTCTGCAGGCAGGCTGTCGATGCCATTTCAACAAAGGCTACTGTGAGAAAGGAAAATGCCTTTTCTAAGAGGAAGCCTGTTGCAGGATAAATACATATTAAGGAATGGCACGCTTCCCTCCCATTAGTATTTATTCAGATGTCACATGTATACAGATTTGAACAAGTATTGTAGCCAATTAAAATAAACATATCAGCTACGAATCCTTTAATTAGATGATGGTCCATTTCTAGCCAAGGACAAAAGCAAGAAAGGCAATCTTGAAAAGAAAAATAGCTCCAGGCTATTTTCCTCTGATCATATGAAGCATAAACAGGCCACACTTTTAATTTCCTTTCAAAACCCTTTTTTTGTCCTGCAGTAGGTGGGTTCCATTCTGAAGTGACAAAGTATTACTTTCCTTTCTGCCATCTCCTTTATGATAGTAACACAACATGGCTTCCTTTCCACAACAACTACCCAAGCTGTCCTTGGGTACATGATGCTACTACAATACAAGCTTTTAATCTTTATGGAAAAGAGAAAACAAGGAGGAACTCAGTTTCCTTCCCATGCAGTCATGATCAAGTCACTGAAAGCTTCTTTTATACAGAGTTAAATTGGAGTTAAAACAGAAATCAAAATTTCTGTTTTATTAAAGATAATCCTTAACTTATGACCGTTTAAAAATGTTTCAAAGTTACAATGGCCTCGGAAAAGGTGACTTACAACCTATACTCGCACTTATGACTGTCACACCACCCTTCCAGTCATGTGATTGCAATTTGGGCATCTGGCAATCAACTCGCATTTATGACCAGTGGCAGCATGATCATAATTTGCTAACTCTTTTGCTGATTTCCAGAAGAAGAAAAAAACACCCATTGGGGAAGCCGGAGTCTCCTAATAACCAGTGATTTGCTTAATGACTACTATAAAATTGTCATAAAATCAGGTTTGACTTGAGTTATGACCACAATTACTTATGACAGAAATTCCAGTCCCAACTGTGATCTTAAATCAAGGACTACCTGTATGTATTGTATTGTAAATTCATTTCTATTCATGCTGAATGCCTTTGGAAAATTCTTGTCATTCACTGTATCATGCCTCGCAGCATCAAGAGAAAGAGAGAAACCATACGCGTTTCCTTCTTAATTTATAGGTAAACAGTAAATATTTAGGATACATTCCATTTGTGTTATAGAACATTTATCCAACCAAGGGTGCTAATTCAGTAGTGGATCCTCTGTTGGGTCCGCAAAAGATTGCAGTTTCAAGCTTCAGCATCTCCAGATAATGCTGAAAAGCACAGCCAGTCAGTGGAAGCAACACATGCTAGACAAACAGACTTGCAGATATCTTATTTGTGAGGGACAAAATAGTTGCATCTCAAAATACACTCCAAGCTAAAAACCCTTCCACAAAGTTTGAATTAGCTTGCTTCACACATCTGCAACAGCTGTTTCAAACAACTGAATTCAAGGCCATTTGAACCGAGGTGTTTGCATACTCCTATCACAAGCTTTGCTGATACTGACTGCTAGGTAAATTTGGCTCCTAAGAAATATTCTGAGATTCCATTTCTTTCCAGAAAAAAAAGGATAAGTATTTTATCAACTGGATTCCAAATATTTTATTTCAGGAAGGAATTAACTCCAGCATCCATTTCTCTCCAAGCAGCTGCCCATGAGCTGGGGTGCCTCCTTTTCAGCTGAAGGGATCCATGTCTGCCATTCGTCCCTTCCTGCAATGCCTTAATGGTACAGATTCTTTGGAACATAACTTTTAATGTCTCTGCAATCACATTAGCAACTTTAATACCTGGGGGGAAATGGCAGAGTTGCAAATAAAGGTTCCATTTTAAAAGATTTATTGGGCGATATGAATATTCTACTTTGTCAGCGGAGAAGAGAAATGGGAATGAAGCGGAAGTATAAAGTATAAAGCTTGAGACATTCTCCCCTAAATTCCTAACACGCCCAGCAGCAGCACACAAACATATATTATGCTACTTGTTTAAAATAGTGCAATAATTACAATACCAGCCTAAACCTGACAGGACTGCGAACTGCAGACAACAATGCTTGTTTGCTTTCCGTGCCACTTGTTTAAACTCTAGCAACCAGCTAATACATTAAGGTAAGATTTCTGTAAATCAAAGCAATATGTTTTGTTCCTTTCTTCAGCAGTGTCTTTGTCCCAGAAGAAAGTCACTCAATGTGTCATCACCCAATAATTTCACATTTTCCCTCTCTATTTGAAAAGATCTCAGCTCACTGCTGCCAGGGCATACCTGGAAGACATGGAAGGTGTAACTGAAAAGTAGCTACTAAGCCTGCACTCAGCTCCCTTGAACAGTAGCTCTATTAAGCCATCTCTTTTTCCACAGTTTTATTCAAATGAAATAAGATGCCTTAGTATAACTACTTTCTCACAAGGAGCAGAATTAGAGTTTTCCAACTTTAGGGGGGGTTGGTGGTGGGGGACTACAAAGCTGAAAACTCCCAGTTTGTATGACAGGGGAGTCATGTTGGCTAAGAATTCTGGCTATGACAGTCCAACGGTTCTGGGTTATATTATATTGGAAAAGGCTTGACCACTTCTTTTGCTTTCAAGTATTCTCCTTTATTACAATGGCTGATATTATAGGTTGGGTTAGTTAAACAGTATCACCATATCAAAATAAACACAAGCAGTTTGAACCCTCAGACATTAAAAACATTTCCTTCTCTTGGCAAAGATCTTAAGGAATTTTTGATTTTGAGTTCTCTATTAACAAGGAACGCCCGCTGCAAAAGCTACTGGGGATATGGAGTTAGCTTCACTAGCAGCCATGTCAAACCACAACTTCCAAAAACACTTCCAACAGGAGCTACCAGGGAAGGACAAACTGGGGGAGGGAGGGAGGGAGGGAGGGAGGGAGGGAGGGAGGGAGAGAGAGAGAGAGAGAGAGAGAGAGAGAGAGAGAGAGAGAGAGAGAGAGAGAGAGAGAGAGAGAGAGAGAGAGAGAGAGAGAGAGATTCTGACATAATGCATTGGCTACAGAATGGAAGTGGTTTACCATTGCCTTCTTCCAATTTTGTTTTTGTTTTTAACTTCTAAGTAGGGCTGTGCAAAGTGTTCCATAGATGGAACAGCTGGTTTTGGGTGGCCTGTGTCTGGATTGAAACAGGCATGTTTTGAATGTTATGGTCCATATACAGAATGAAATGTGATGTTCTTGGCAAAGAGGTTGGGATATGAGTGAGGAACAGCCACTGCTAAGGGTTTTCATGGCACAGCATGTGCTGGTGACACATAAAGACAAAGATGAAAACTTTCAAAATTGAACACTCTCAATTTATACTGAGGAAAAACAATGTGCCATTTCCAATCTCAGGGGCCTGTTTGTAATCAGAGCAATTCATGCTGCTTTCTCAACCAGGAAATTGGTCAAAAGAAGCATCGTCCTCTATCCTGGACCTATGTACCTTGCAAGACCTTCACTTTTTTTCTGTACCTGAATGAAACAGCCTTTTCAGCCATTGCTACATTGGAATAGTACAGTACTCAGTTAGGTTTGAGGATGGAACGAAAGAGATCTTACTGATTACAGTATACATTTTGCAGTGATCAGCAAATATACAACAGCAACCTCATGCAATGTCAATTCATCAGTTCCCCATTATGATAAAGTCGTAGACACGTAGCTCCAGATGCCTAGATACATCAGTATATAAGAAATCCACTAGTAAGAATCACTTACATTAGCAATGTCAATACTTTAGGCCATAGAATGCTACAACACAAATACCAATTTAGTGTATATACCAATTATACCAATTCAGATAAATGGTTGTGCAATCTCTTCTTGAAAACCTCCAGTGACAGAGCACCCACAACCTCTGAGGGCAAGCAGTTCCACTGATTGTTCTAATTGGCAGGAAATTTCTCCTTAG